CTGCTGAAAAAATTATGTAATTGACCCCAATCTGTAGGTATCCTACTGCTCTCTGCTGTGACGAATACAATTTTCCTCCTGGCTGTTCTGCAAAGTGTATAAACCTTAATAAAGCTATCCAGTAGCTTAAGCTGGAAGAGCTTTTCTTTTTTAATAGCACTATTAATAGCATAGCAAACCAGAAAAAATGCCGAAAGGATGGCAGCCTTTTTTGTAAGAGCTTACACTTTAACGCATATTCTAGGTATGGCAATAGAAAACTTATAGCTGAAATGATACCGTAGAAAATGATTTAGGACCTAGAGATCGTAAGTAGGGTGTTGTTCCAAACAAGAAAACAATAACCAGACATGAAGTGAGGAGGGTCAGGACAAGTTTATTTTTCCCCACCCATGTTTTTCTCTGGATATTACCACGTGCTAAAAGACTAACAAAATTTGAGTTAGAGTTTCAGGATTCAAAGTTTCCAAGTATTTTAAGATAATCACTTTCGTTCAGGCTCAGGCAGTCCCTGTACCAATGGTGATGTACCAGGCTAATGCTGCTTCCAATATCTATCTTGGATCTGCACCTCCATTTAGTTCCTGGGCATCTTTCTCTCCGAAACCCTAAACAAACAAATTGAACCACAGTGCACACAAGAAACAGAGTAGGTAATTAAATGTGAAGGGAAGCAGAAGACTTCAGAAGCAAAATATAAGATTCATAATACACTGTTTATTGTGGAGGAGGAAAAAATAAAAAAGCAAGCAAGCAACTGACAAAAGCACAAACCTGCGCAGAGATAGAGAAGCAAGATCCCAGACTACAAGCCAGTGAACATGGGTTTCACAAACCATAGCTATCAACAGCACCTTTTAAACCACATAAAATACAAACTGCAGCCTTATTAAAAAAGGTATTCTCTTGTAATTAGAAAAGAAAAGAAATTTTATTTTGGACTCTGGACTTTTCTGTAGAGGAAACAAAGTTGGAGAGGGAACAGAGGGTGGAAAACAGTAACAGTTTATTGGCTGGAAATTACATGTAATGGAACAACCACCCACAAAAGCATGGAGAAATTTGGAAAGAAGCAGAGGAAAAAAGTCCTGTCTGTGGAAATGCCAGATGTGCTGAAGGCAAGGGCTTTCCCTCCCCAGGGCTGCACTAGGGATCTGCACATCACATACGCACAATGCACAAAGCCTCACTTAGGTGATGCAAATTCACTCAAGGTTACCACTATGTTAAAGGACGAGATCAACTAATTTTGCCATTACCAAGGAAGTCTTTTTTTTCCCCCTTCTGATTTTTATTCCTCCTTGCCAGATATTTACTTTGGAAACTCAGTATGTAAATATTTGTTTTGAGAGGAAATGTTAAAAAACAAAAAACTTGTCCCAAGGTCACGAGTGATTTATTGCTTAAGACGACACGTTTTCCTTCGAGCCCGAAGCGGGCAGTTCCATCCGGACCATGACAAATCCAGTTTGCTCATCCACGCTGACTGCATTTCCTTTGGGAAATATCCAGCACGCTCACAAAACAAACACCGCGGCCTCGTCGCAGCAGCGCGAAGCACGCACGCGTACCTCGGCCGAAGCGCCCCCACCAGCCCCGGTAACAGCCTCGCGCAGCGCGCCGCGCACGGTCGG